TATGAATTCAAGAGAATTAACAATTAATTCAAGATACATTTTCTAAAACCAAGTATTATCTCGCAGAAGTTTGCTTGTTTTAATGATGTTTGGATATTTTATTGGAAAACAGGACAAAAGCAAAGATTTTATGCAGTGTATTACCCTCATTGGAATGGAGGTAATTTGATAAGGAAAAACATTACAACCCATTAAGTAGCAAAATTAGCACTTAAGGCAAGTTAGAAGCACTCATGATATCACATGCACTTTCAGCTAGGTGTGTGTGTAGGTATGTGCGTCTGTGTCCTCTGGAAAACTCCCAGACTGATTAGACTGTTTCTTGCAGAGCTGTTAAGACTTGCCTAGTGTTGTGTTGCCTAGTATGTGTCTATAGGGCTGTGGTTGTTGGGGTTCCTCAAGGTTATGGTTTTGGCCCGCTTTTATTTATGTATAAGTTTCCTTTACCTAGGTGCCACCTGTTTAAATGTTTGCAGGAATTTACTGTTCTTTTTTGCTTGAGGTAATTACCAAGTTTGTTTGCACCCTATTAATGATTGAGGTGACTTTCTTAGCTTTGCCAATTGAAAATCTGTTTGGAAAATTCACACCATCACCTGTGTAGCAGAAATATGTGTTTTGGAAATCTGTGAGAGCATTTCCTTGACACAAATTCAGCTTAGATCAGAAATGTTTTTCGAAGCAGAATTCCCGATTTGCAGTGATGTCTTATTCTGACCTAAGCTCAAAAAAACTTATATATATATATGAATGTTGTAATAATGTTGAAAGATAATATGGAAATAAGTAGATTTCAGTTTCAGGTATAATTCCAAGCTGCAAGAAAGACATGTATTATCCTTGATGATTAAGTGGTGCTGAGCAGCTGTGTTGACAAAAGCCTATTAACTTTTTTTTCTCTCTAATTTCTGGACATTTCTATGTTTAAGCTCTGCAAACATTCTCTGTGGAAAGATAAATGAGTTAAGACACCCAAGCTGTGAATTCCTAACAAGAGAGATACATTTACACACTTGGTCTATTGAAACATATGACAGTAATAGTGTCAGCTTGAGTTGCTGCTTTATATATGCAAGGAACGCCCCCTACAGGCCATTTTGTACATGCATTTTTTTCTATCAGTCATGTAGTCTGGCAATGGATTTATTTGCTAACTATATTAATTTAAAATGTTGTTATTTATATGTTACTTAAATTACACAAACATGTTTTTAGCCAGAAGTAAAGCAGGCCAAAAACATACACTTGAGGGACATCACAGCCAAAATGAAATAGCCAAAATTTTTCTTATCTTTAGAAAAACATTTAGACAAAAATATCTAAATGTCCCTGAAACAAATCAAACAATGCTTTTGTCGAAGATGGCAAATTGTTTTTTAAAATGTGATTTATTTAATAGGAGAGGAGGAGCCAGGCTCTGTAGCTGAGGTGTCCTACTATTCTTACGAGTACGACCCGGACACTGACAGCTTTTCACCAGAGAGTGAGGAAAAGTTAATTCCTATAGGAGAAGAAGAGGAGGCGGCAGACACCAAACAACTGGGTGGACATATCCTCACAGTGGACACAAAGGACTCACCTGAGCGATGGTGAGATACAACCTGTTTACCACAGTCAGTTAAAGGACTATTTCTTCCAAAAAATGTCTTGCCCATGTAAAACATTTTCTTTGTCACTTATGTATATAATATAAGCATCAATCTTTTGTCTGTTTCTCTGCCACCTCTACAACAGAGACCCCTGGCTGTCAGCAGCAAGTGCGGGAGCTCCACATTGTACATTCTCTGTGAATATGTTTGTGTGTAAGAAAGGCTGGTAAAGAGAGGTGGACCCAGTCTGTTGCAACGAGATGACAGCTCTGAGTGTGTATGTGTGTGTTCGGAAAGAGAGATAATATCAGTTCTCCTCTCTTTTATTTTTTTAATTCATTTCCATAGCTCTTTACGTTTAGTGATGGTATGACGTCTCCCTGTATTCCTCTTAAGTCAGTCTCTTGTAATCTAGTTTTAATAGTCCAGTATTTATGTTACAACCTGTTTACCACAGTCAGTTAAAGGACTATTTCTTCCAAAAAATGTCTTGCCCATGTAAAACATTTTCTTTGTCACTTATGTATATAATATAAGCATCAATCTTTTGTCTGTTTCTCTGCCACCTCTACAACAGAGACCCCTGGCTGTCAGCAGCAAGTGCGGGAGCTCCACATTGTACATTCTCTGTGAATATGTTTGTGTGTAAGAAAGGCTGGTAAAGAGAGGTGGACCCAGTCTGTTGCAACGAGATGACAGCTCTGAGTGTGTATGTGTGTGTTCGGAAAGAGAGATAATATCAGTTCTCCTCTCTTTTATTTTTTTAATTCATTTCCATAGCTCTTTACGTTTAGTGATGGTATGACGTCTCCCTGTATTCCTCTTGTAATCTAGTTTTAATAGTCCAGTATTTATGTTTGTAAGTATAATTTACCTAAAAATCTAATATTTTATTGTTTTTGTTTTCTATCTGTGGTATTTATTTGTGGCTAGTGCCTTTGTTCGTTCGGTTCGTTTTTTTTATTTTCTCAATTCCTCAGTCAGCTCCTCCCTTCTTTCTGAACACAATCTACTGGTGTGGTTTTACAACCCGTTAAAATGTGCTGTAATGGACCGTGCACTTCCAGAGCATAAAGAAAACGCACAAAATTGTCCGTTAAGGTGTGTAGCTACTATTTTTACTTATTGACGTCTGACTTGTTCATTGGAGAAGAGACTGTAACTGATAAATAAGCTTCTTTCCCAGTCACCCTATGTTAAATTAGTCTCTGCATCACAGAAAACAAACTCTGTTACACAAACTGGAATATGATTTGTACAGAATATAAGCTATTTTGACTAAACCTCCATGCTAAATGAAAATCGGCAGGCCCACATGAAATCTGCACTTTTAAACAGAATGCCTCTAATGTGATTATTCAAGTTCACTGAATAATTTGGTTTAATTTAATGATGCGTTAAGGTACTAATAAGAGTTTATTACCTTCAAGGCCCATTTAACATACTTTACTGTATTTTAATTCCCCTAAAATCAATGCAGAAAAATGCAGATATGCAAAGTGGCCTATGTGAAATTTGAAAATTACTGTAAATTTTAATGAACTTAAAATGAATTTAACCTTAAATGATATCACATTTGGAAGAAAGTCAATGAGAATAAACTTTGTATGTAATTTGTATCGTGTGAAATCTTTGTTTTATGTTTGAATTACAATTTGTATTCTGTCCATTCTATATAATATGCAAAATTATTATTAGTGTATTTATAGTAAGTATACGTATAGTAAGTATGTAAGTAAGTACAGTAAGTTATAGTATATTGAAAATACTATATTTGTATTTTGGGTGGAATTTTCGAAGTAATTTAGCCTAGCATTGCTCACAGTCAGTTATACTGGTGAATTTGGTTTGCTATGATTCTCCAGAGCGTAAAGACTGAAGTATACTGCAGTTTTGATGCAAACGCTTAGCATAAGCATTCAGTCGAACGTGTAGTATTTTAAAGTTGCTCTTTATCTCGCTATTCAGAATTGCTAAATTATCTCACAATTGCAAGTTATAAACTCAGAATTATGAGTTTACATCTCACAATTCTTTTTTTTTTCTCCCACAGAATAAAACAATAAAAAAAGGTAATTGCGACCTTTTAGCTCAACTTTTCAGATCTTGCAATTCTCAGAAGTCAGAACTGCGAGTAAAAAAAGTCACAGTTGTAAGATATAAACTTGCACTGTCATGCACAGTATGCATACCCTAATGAATGCGTAAAAAACCTTAGTATACTTTGGACTTTATTATGCAGAGCAGTCGTGTGTAATCACAATATTACTTTTTGAGCACAAATTCTTCCTAAAAGTACATATTTTTGTGTTAAAGTTGCATTTTTAACAGTTTTGAGATAATCTGTTGTTCCAGGTTAACTGCTTGAGCTTCTTCAAAGCTCTCTGAAACTTGTTTAAAGGTCCTGGCAAAACATTGACCCCATGTATTGCTGTCTACTGGGTCAGCTTGTGATAGTTTGCCTATGTTGGCATCCAGCTCCGGTTACCACAGCACTGTTAATGTTTAATATTTGTTTGCTGCATGGTCAGTGCAGTGGTGAACATGTTCACCTGTCATGCCCCCAGCTTTCAGTAACTGCAATTTTTTTTTAATAGCTCTCCCAGACAATGCATTTCAGTTGGATAGATGGGAATATGGTACGTATTCACTTATATGTCCTTCAGAAGTTTGTATCTTCTCAAATGCCGAAGGCCTTTTCTATGCAGCTTTGCAGGGGGGCCCCCAGCTGCTGGTCCCCTTAGCGACCCATGCTTGATGGTCCATCTCTACTCAGATGAACAGAGTAAAGGCATGAAAGAGAAAGAGAAGCGAGAGGAGGAATTATCTGATGGAGATAGTGTTACATGACAGTGAATTCAAGTGATGACACCTTTGTGCTTCTGTCTCTCAAACGCATGTGTATATTTAATGGGTTCGGCGGCCCCCGATTGAGTCAACCAGGTTGAATGAAGATTACTCCAAAAAGTGTTCAGTTTACCACTTGGGCGGCTTTAGTTCTCACATCATCAGATCATTGGACAGTGGAGAACTTGACTGGACTTGTCCAGTCCAAGAGAGGTCAGAAGGCAGAATTGTGCTGCAGAGGACATCTGATTTTGTGCAGCTAGGAAGATGACAATGGAAAAAGTTCTACTAACCATCACCTCAGCTTTGAACTTGGATGTTTTGAAGATCTACACCTACTTGAGTTTTTGCAAGTAGCTGCTTGCGTTTTTTAATTGCCTGGAAAAAACTGATGCTGACGTGAATGTTAATTCCTTAATAATTGCTTGTCCTTGAGCTCTGTTTACTCAAATTCTCTGGAAAAGTTGGCATAGAGATTTGATAGTAAGTAGGCCTATGTCCAATTCTGCAGGAAACGGACAACTTAGATTTCTAGAAGGGTTAAACCTCCAGTCCCAAATGCAATCTTGACTATGAGTGAAACGGAGAGGAAGCGTCCGGTCATTGCTGGCAGAGAAAAAGGTGAGCTGTTTTAACGTATATTTATTTGTATATACTATGTACTAAACAATAATCTCACCTTCAATGTAAGAAAATAGTTTGAACGCCGTTCACCAATTGCTGAATGTACAAACGAATAGCACTGAGACTATTCACTGTTTGTATCAGTCCGGTAGGCTGTACATCGTTAACACCAGAAGGTGACGACAAGTGACACTCTTAATGAGTGAATTATTGTATTTTACTGATTCGTTCAAAAACATTGGTTCATTCAGAAACGAAATGTCGCTACTGTATGTTGCTCAGATACGGTTGATTTTACTCATTCTAAGTACGTTTGGAACTACTTTCGTTGGCGGAGCAACAATAGACAGTGGCGTCCAAAATACAGGTTACTCAATATTGACTCCTTATTTGTTGAATAACAGAGCTATTGTTCTTGTAGTGTAGTTTCAATATGCTTTTAATAAGTAAATGAAGTACTGTCCATGATACTAAATTGAAACATTATTATTATCTTGGTAAACCTAATGGATTTTCCTTTCCACTGTTTTTGTGAAGCCGCTTTGGGATAGAATTTGTGAAAAGTGTTGCGTTCAACTGACCTTTTTCCAAAAAAGTTCTTGTAAGCAACATACAGTAGTGCTGTATTTTGTAACAAATGCTTCCAGTGTACTTACGTCCCCATCAAATTTTCATTTAACTGAAAAAGAGTTACTTTTTCCTTCAAAGGTCACGCGTTCAGCAAGGTTACGATAACTTTGTGCCCTGGCCTGTCAAAACATGCTGAAGTACATGTGAAAGAATGTTCTGTGCTCCCAGTAGCCCTCCACATGCACACAAACATTTGTGGGCTGATGTCATGGCATTCCCCTGGTAGTATCAGAGAAGATAGCCAAAGGCATTGTCTGTCCTCCACTCCAGGAAAAACCATCACGCCACTGCGATGAGCTCACATTCCTGCTGGGCTGCATCTACAGGGTGTGGATCTCCCTAACAGATTCTGTCACAACTGCCTGCCAAAAAATGCATCACTACATATTTCTGATTACAAGTAGTGGGCTGTGCATATGTTGTGTGTGCATGACTACAGTATGACGGCTGTTTTCCATTCTTGTTTACAGGGCCAGGACCTGGTCGATACATCCTTCCACCAGCTATCGGCTTTGTAGGCCACGATTTCACCAAGTCAACAAGTCCTGCCTACTCCTTCCATGGCAGGATGAGTAACAACAGTAAGTTTATATTAAGTTGCAGTAAAATAAATGAGCTCAGTGGGAAATGACTCCAATATAACAGCATAAGCTTTTCTAGCTCATTTAATGCCAGGAATGTACAAATCATCTATGTTGATGTTTTTACTAAAATCACTTAGTTCTTAAACTTGTATTTTGCAAATGTCACCACTAGAGGGAGACAGACTGCTGTAAATTCCCATTATTTATGTTGATCGTTGCTGTGTAGAAAGAATAGTAGATCAGAAGTGATATTTTTATTAATATTATTTTCATGTTACTTTACAGAGTACAATCACACTTAATTTTCTTGTAAGGGTTTTTTATTTAGATTTTTTACAGATATTTAAGGTAAAATATTTTTAAATTATATTAAAAATTAAGTACTTTTTCTTTGTTGCATTATAGTACAATATGGTGTACGCCTTGGAACTGAGATATTTTGTATTTTCATTACTTCCCATTAGCTAGAAAAATCGCAAACATTTAAGATTATTGAAATATTAGACTGGATTACTTAACATTTAATCGTTTTGTCATTGCATATGATAAAAGAAATCAAAAGGCTCTTAAAACCTACAAAGTAACTTGTTTAACTCTACAGATAATTACACATTCATGTGTAATAATTTACGTTCATGTGTGTTAAACAGTTCACTCGAATATTCAACAAGTATTATAATGTAATGCTGTGTTTATTCTGCTTTGATTGTACAGTGCATAGCATTGACTGTAGTCCAGGGCCTAAATACCATATCGATGCCAAACAGACTCGCTTTGGAAGAGATGGCACCCCTGCCTATTCCTTTCATGGCAGGACGGAAAGTCGAGGTAAGTCGGTTATTTTGAAGTGTCGTTCTGTTGAAACGGTTCCTTATTTACTGGTAGCTCGAACCACTTCATGTCGAAACCACCAGGAAACACTTAGCTGGAATAAGCTGACTGAGTTTGACAGTTCCTAACTCTTGTTGTGTCTGATAATTGCAGCAGCAATCTTCTCCACCCCTGGACCAGGAGCATACAGTCCTGAGAAAGCCTCTCTGTGCAGCATCCATCGCAAACCGCCATCCCACACCATGGGTTATCGAACACAGTATCGCTCCGTGGACACCGTACCTGCCCCGAACAAATACACCCTCCCTTCTCTCATGGGCTCCAGTGTGTTGACCAAAGCATCCAGTGCCAGTTACAGCATCTCTGGGAAATGCAAATCTGGGGGTCCGTCTGAGGACTTATCTAAAACTCCAGGTCCTTGTAGATACAACCGCACAGATCCCAGTGTCTACCTCCCGAGGCAGCCTGCGTTCTCTATGCTGGGGAGGCACGCTGCTGCAAGGGAGTCCACAGTGGTACCAGGTCCTGGAAGTCATAACCCAGAGAAAGTGACAATGCACAAGCCCAGACCTCCAGCTTTCTCTTTAGGGATCAGGCACTCAGAGTTTGTGACCCCTTTAATAGTAGATTAGTAATATTTTGAAGGCTATGTTTGTACATATAGATTTGTTTTCTGTTCAGTTTGAAAAATGTCATTGCATGTTTAAAAAGGTTTGCCATTTGTCTCATAATGAACTCTGCTCATGCTTACAAAGAACAATTTCTAGGCAATTAAATATTGTAGAAGTGAGCATAACTATAATCCTAATTTAAAGATTTTAAACATTTCACTGACTTTTCAAATGACAAAATTATAAACATAATTTTACAGAACTCACATGAAAGTAAAATCATTAAAAAAACTTTTGTTACTTGAAATAAAATTAATGATAACTGAAAAAAGGTTTTATTTCAGCTAGTTGCAAACATTTCCCATTTGAATTTTTCAGTTTAGTTGAACTTGAATGACTAAAATAAAATGTAAAAATGGTGACAAAAACACAATTACTAGAACTTTAGCTAAAATGTAATTATATATATATATAAGTAGTGCTGTCAAATGATTAATCACGATTAATTGCATCCAAAATTAAAGTTTTTGTTTACGTGTACTGTGCATATTTATTATGTATATATAGACACATGCATGTATAGATTTAAGAAAAATGTTGTTTATATATAAAATATATTTATACATAAATTATACAAATATAAATATATACATGTAAATATTTTCTAAATATATACAATATGTGTGTATTTATATAAACATAATAAATGTACAGTACACACACATAATGTAAACAAAAACTTTTATTTTGGATGCAATTAATCATTTGACTGCAGTAATATATATATATATACACATATATAAAACAGTGTATAACATATACACTGTATAAGAAAAAAAATTATGATCTGGATTTTTTGTGAGTGTGATATCAATAAAAAATAAATGCAGTTCCCTATGGGAACCCTGAATATATGCTGTTGCTTTTGTGTACATTATTTAATTTCACATTACACAGATTACAAATTAGGATGCAAATGAGCTAATAAAAATAATATTTATTGATTTGTCTACAACAAATGAGTAACAAACAAACATTGACTGCTCAACAAACAAGTTGGAGATGTTAACAACAGCAGTTCAGCAACAAAAATCATCGTAGTGTACAACAAAAACTATTCCTTCTATTCACGACGGGCGATTTACTGGACCTGAAACACCATCCAACTCATTTTACGTGACTCAAGTGTAGATCTAACACTTTGGAGGAGGCAGCCCGTTCCCCTCTGGGCTCCTGTTGCCATCAGATCTCCGAATGAAAGGGGGCTGGGAAGGAGGAGTAACATTTCATTGCCATAGATCTGCAAATAATAAAGCTTATATACAAATCACAACATATGGAAAGAAATGCACGCATGGTCAGAGTCGACCAAGAAGTTTAACTTCCGATGACAATCTTGAAATCTCATTCCTTGGGAAGCGGTCTTCGGAAAAGCAGAATGTGAGGCTCTGTATGGAAAGAGTGGGATATTAGTGTTTAGGAGAATAATGGGCAGCTTTTGTGGACCAGTTTCTCAAAAACTACAGAGCTGCCCACCTAGACAGTAATTAAGCTGTCAAAGTAGGCTTTAAAACACAGCCCTGGTCTACAGGTACATACTAACCTGGTTTATGGATCATGTAATGGATCCAGCCCTGACTTTGCTGGACTCCCAGTCCTCTCCATTCCTCCTCCGACATTAAATTGGAGGCCGGCACCAGTTTGGAAAGCTGCTTGGGAAGCATAACATGTCTATGAGGAAGGAGAGGGACAATGTTAGTTTGACTAATATTTCATACTTAACGGCTCTTCAAATTGTTTGCCAGGCAACAAAACGCGGTTAGGACGACAGAACCCGGAAAATACATTTTAAACAGACCATTTTCTATAATTTGCAGATGTTTTAAAGTTATTTTCTAAAAAATGAAACCGTCAAATGACATAACAACGGTCATTATGATGTTTCACGTCAACTCGAAAGTGAACTGTTAAATAAAACGACTGAAATCCCTCACCTGTACTCGTATTCCTCGTCGGAATACTTGTCGGAATAGTAAATCTGCTTTTTTTTCGCTGAAGACATTGTGGTTAAATGCTAAATTCAGTCCAAATCCAAGGTGAAATCCCAAATAACTCAGGGTCGCAGGGTCGTCTAACGTTAGGTGTTTTCCTGAACTAACAGTTTTGAACTCAAACGGTCCCTCCCGCGCTTCTGATAGGCTGAGCCACTCGTCGTTTAGGCTCCGCCCCCTCCACGCGCGCCTGCTGCGTTTGACAGCACTACAGTCTAGTAACGTTTGCAGAACACTCACAACACAATGATACACAATGATTTATTTCGTCAGTTCGATATTTACAGGCCTTGTTTATTTTGAGACCTTGTTTTTCATATAAGAAAATGTTTTTCTTTTCAACAGTATGACTTTTGCTTATGTAGGTAAGTTTAACCGTGTGAACAAGTAAGTGTGAGACTGAAGTGTGAAACCCAAGGATGGTGTTTATGCTAAGAGAGTGTGATTTATACAGACTACGGACTACTTTTCTTTGATGACATTCTATGATATATGATAGTGGTGAATGCGTTAACCTTTTCTTTACTCCAAAAATGTCTTTTGACAGCACTTTTGCCATTTATCCTGTCAAATGATCAAACGACTCATAGACTTCTTAATCACACATCACTATTATCCTGTGGATTTTACATAGCCTATAATTACACATAATTTTACAAATATATCATTAACCAATATATTTTTTATTTTAAGATCCAATACAAGTTTTTGTATCCAATACAAGTGATTTACAACAGAAAGTAGGCTAATTTCAGCCATCCCTCCAATTGTTCCAGTGTAAGTCTGAGCGGAATAGCATTTCACTGAAATAAACAATACACACCATTTTGAGTAGATGTGACTTAAATGTTATAATATCGGACAAGTGTGATTATAAAATGCTTATTAACTTTGTGTAACTAACTGTAATGAGCATCTAAAGCCACCAAAGCCAATAACTTAACACGATATGTGCGAAGATACTGGAAAGTGATGATGTGAAAAGATATTCACAAGATACGCTACCGTTCACAAGAGCAAAACAGAATTACATGTGTAACACATAACTAAAAGTCCATCAAGCTAGAAGAGGAGACCAAATGTTAAAAGTATGAGTTAAGCAACTTTTGTATGTAAGAAGTGATTTAACAAGATTACAAGCTTCACATTTCGCAAAATCAAAAATGTCCTGTTAGTATTTCAAGCTTTGTTCATGAAACTCATGAAAAGTTGTGACAGGGTAAGTTAGCTTTTTTGAATGTTCGAAAATACAAAAAATGGCCACATTTCAGATTGAGTTGTTTGAGGTGGCAGAGGTTTGCTCCATTTTTTTTTTCTTTTGTTTGTTGCCATCTTTTTTTTTTGAACGTTCGAAAATACAAAAATGACCACATTTCATATTGAGTCGTTTGAGGTGGCAGAAGTTTGCTTTTTTTTTTTTTTTTCAAATGGTATAACATTTAATGTCATGGCTGCTGATTTGACCACAGCGTTCCTGTGACCTTTTTAACAAGCACATATTGTTGCAGTACAAAATCAAGCAGAGCGAGGAAGCCATCAGAAAGCTTCTTTACTGTCTCTGTTGTATCTTTTAATGTTTTAGACATCAGTTTATGTGACAATATATGGCTTATTTGGTGTACATAGTGTTTTGTTGTTGTCATGTTGTTTATCCAGTGGCAGTGATTCTATGAACACATTTCTGTTTTTTTCTCTCTCTTTTTTCCCCATGCGGTACTCTTTTGTTGCTTAAAAAAACGAATCAGGCTTGCTAGAACTTTAACCAAAGGTTAACTTCAGTGACTCTTTTGTTAATGAATTACACAGTTTCCGTTTCACAAGTAACACGTAATAACTTTTGTTCAAGCAGTGAATTTAAATGAGGAATGCATTTGTGTATGTTTTAATGCTACGCTATAACAGTCTGTTAGAATGAAAATATACCTTTTATACTCTTAGATGCTAAATGGCATTCAAATCAAACTCGTGCCACCTTTTATGAACTTTTAGCAGCACCAACTATTAGCATCATCATTTCATGTTTGAAAGCACTTACATTTATACAGTGTTTAAGCATTTTGCAACTTCGCAAATATTAACATTTGTGTGCATTAGACCAGAAAACCAGTAACGTGATTGGGCATGTCATTGTAGGAGGTGTGTGTATGTGATGGCGTGTGTGTTCCTGGTGTGGTTCGAGTGGTTTCTCTCACTCTTTGGGCTCAAACTTCACATCTCTTGACTCTTATGTGCTTTTACCCTTCCTCTACATACAAATAAATAGGTTTGCATGTTTTTTTGTGGCTTGATGTAGGGCTGGCATTGCAACCTGCAGCAGACAGCACTAGTTTTGGTGAGTTACTATTGGCTTTCCTCTTTCTCTATTTTTTTTTTTCGTCTTTAATCTCCACATGTCTATATTTAGTATAAACCTTAATAGTTATATTGTGATACATTGCTAGAAATGCTTTATATGAGTATGTGGTATGTGTGACGTAGAAAATTTATTTTTATTTTGTGGTATTTCTTAGGAAAGCTAATATTAATATAGCGTCTTCACCCACATTGACCACAATTTGATGTTTAATGTCATGATATAGCAGATAATGAACTTGCTGTAAATGTCACCTGTTGGGTGCTATTGAGCTATTTATGTATGTGACTTTTAAACAGGCCTGTTAGAGTAGGAATATTTTTTATCAGATTAAAAAGTAGTATTTTCCATTTTGACACAAAATAATGTAAATATGCAGATTTATATATATATATATATATTTCCAGTATATTTATTAATTAACACAAACAAACGTTATAATAACTAGAAACGTTTCATTTTATATTTTATGTTAATATATGCAGTTAGCTTAATGATAATGCTATAATCAATGAAAATATTTGTCTCAAAGTAAAAAAAAAAAAATTATAAAAAATTTAAATTAAAAAACATTTTGTTGATTAAAACAATCAATAAAATGTGTTTAGTACCATATTAATGTAGAATTGCATTAATTCAAGGCACTAATGTTTGCCTACAAAACCACCACTGGCTCTGCACTCCTTTACCTAAATTCATTACTTCAGAGTTATGTGCCCTCTAGAAGCTTGCGTTCTGCAAGTGAATGTCGCTTTATTGTGCCATCCCAAAGAGGCACAAAATCACCTTTACAGACTTTTAAATGAAATCTTCCCTCCTGGTGGAATGACCTGCCCAACTCAATCCGAGCAGCTGAGTCCTTAACCATCTTCAAGAATCGGCTAAAAACACATCTCTTCCATCTTTATTTGACCCTCTCACTCTGGCACTTTCTATTCTATTTTAATTCTACTTTATCTATTTATCTTTACCCATGTGTTTATATATATATATATATATATATATATAATACCTTGCTAGGCTAACCGGGACTTGTCATTTGCACTTACATATTGTTGCTCTTTTGTTAGTTTTGATTGCTTCCATTGTCCTCATTTGTAAGTCGCTTTGGATAAAAGCGTCTGCTAAATTACTAAATGTAAATAAAATTTACAAACCCCACTTTTTTCATGCATTTACCCTCTTATTTGAAAGAATGCTTAATTTAGAGAGGCATATTTATAAACCTTTTTTAAAAAATAAAATGCAAAATAAAAAAATATATATCCAAAAAAATTTTTAATCAGTTTTAGTGCTCTGAATGCTTAAGGTGGCAATGTACGATTCGAGGGTATGCAAACTTTTCAACAAAATATGTATGAATTAAGTTGTTATTTTCTCTGCTGGAATATATGTAACTGTCTTTTATGTCAGAATGATTCTTTGCCGTTATAAAATGGTTTTTATGATCCTACTTATTTAAAAATATATACATATACATCTTGCAGTTTGAGATCTCACTGTATGCCTTGATGAACCTCATGTTGAAGATCCCATCTGCATAGTGCATTTTAGAGAAGTGTAACAATTCACGTTTAACTCCGTTATTCTACTTAATCTAAGATCTGAGATTAGATTAGATTAGACAGGTGCATCCTATGGAAAATGGTGAAATATGAAGAAAGGGTCAGAGTGCTCCAGAACTGAACGTTTATGGCTCTCGGAGGAGAACCGGACAGTAAATGAGTGAAGTAATCTTGTTTTCTCTTTTTCCTGATTCTATTCACTTTTATGTTCTCCTCTGTGGCTTTGTTCGTAACAAAGATATTGATCCAGACCGTGACCCTGCACATACACTCTCACCAATTACAAATGTTCACGGTGACCCCATTCTTGAAGCTAAAATTACCCCAGCTAGGCATGCAGTGTATGTAACAAATGGAAAAACAACAAAATCTCTGCATAACACCTCTGAGAGGTCACCCAAGAGCTGTTGAATTAGGAAAATGTAACACTTGAAAAAAGGCACTTGTGAGTCATGAAGCAAGCGTGAGGCTTTGTCAACACCACAAAACTGAGGTTTCCACCAAAATAGTCTGTACACATAGGCAACGGTAACGGAATATAGAGTATTTTAGTGCTTCCTGTTTATTCGGCCTTGTGGAGTCTTTGCATTTACTTTTTGGGCAGTTGTGAAAAAAGTGACGTCAGAGCAAAAGTAAGAGACTATTTGTCAAACAGGCACAGCGTCTTAAGCAAGTTCTGTAAATGTGACAACTCGGATGCTTTCTTGACTTCGACAGGGAGAGAGAGACCAGAGAGAGTCTCAGCAATTGTTTCATAATCCATACTGCAGCAATATGAAGAATTCTGTGTGAATGAAGAAGCCAGTAATGCTGTTGTGAGGTATTTAAAAAGTTCATTTATTCCATGTTAACTGATGTAAATGATGCTTTGACATCTTGAGTACTCATAAATGTACAATGTGTATCAAGCTACTGAGATAATATACAGTAGATCTTTATTTTAATCATTGATGTCTATAAATCCAAAAGAAAACTATCCATTAATATTCACATTAATCTCAACTGGCAAAGTCCCAAGTGTAAATACTGATCTGTAACATGAAAGGCAACAAATAACTAAAGCTATAAGCTAATTTCATGTTTTTAAAAAGATAGTTCACCCAGAAATTATCCTTCTTTCGTCTGCGGAAGACAAAAGAAGATATTTCGAAGAATGTTAAGGCGCAACGTTGGACCCTATTAACTTTCAATATATGAAAAAAAAAACACTTAAGACATTTAATTTTTGGGTGAACTATCCCTTCAAGCACTCTCTAAAAACAGCTTGTGTACCTGTAAAACATCTACTATAATGTAACAAGTTATTAGTGATAGCTATTGCTGCCAGACAATGTAGCTAAAACATTCACCAGCAGGAAATATCAGAGCTTTGCTATCAAGCCAAACCTTCGTCCCATGGCATAAACAGTGAAATGTGAAATTCATGCGCTACTAGCCTCAACAAACACAACTAGTAAGCTAATTTATAGTTTAGACTCACACCAGTATTTTAATGTTAATGTACAAATGTACTTGTCGGGATGTTAAAAAAATAGCAATGTTTTGGGTCGCCGTGATTTTGCCAAGTAAGACATGTTCCTGAATCAATATCTTTTGTTGATCCTGGATCAACATAACTGTCCAAAAATATAGACTTAACCCAATCCCTACCCCTAAACCTAACCCTACCCATAATTTATTCCTAAATACAGTGTGAAATGATAGCTGATTAACAAGGGTGTAGAAGCACCTAACCCTGATTGTAAGCCTAAAACAGATATTTCCTGAAAAGTTATCCCTCAGTTCTGATTGGTTGATAGGAATGTTGTTCCAGGATCAACAAGGATGTTGATCCAGGAACATGTTGTACTTGGTGAAATCACGGTCACCAATGTTTTGATAGCGCCACATTGTTTACACCTTTCAGAGGAGTCAACCTGCTGGTATAGGAGAAAGTATGGTAGCATTCAAAACATAACATGCATCGCCTTTAGCTACTAAAGCTAGCTGTAGGACTGAATGGCATTGTATGTATCAGATTGTGTGTAGGTTAATAAGTGCAAGATGCTGTAAGGAGGTACTCAGGCAGCTAATGTTGCCTGAACGCAGCTGGGTTGGGCAGGGCTAATAGATGGACCATAACACTATGACACCATCAAGAGAGTGGGGGGAAGCTGGGCTGAGAGAGAAAGAGAGAGAGGGAATGAAGAAGGGAGGGAGGGATTAAGCAAGCCACAGTAAGGGACAGAGCAACTGTCAGAAAGCAGAGAGAGACAGAGAGGACGCAGGGCTAGACTCAGTCCGCACAGAACCTTGTGGATTTCTCCTTTGCTTCTACTGCATCTTTCCTTTTCCCTTTCCCTAACCATCCCCCCCTTCCCCTCCCTCTTCCCCCCCCACTGTCCTCTCCGCTCTGGACCGCTCCTCCGGGCATGCTACTTAAGCCAAAGTATGGCCGCTTCCGGAACGACTCTGTGACCTCCTCCGACGACCTGATGCAGAGCCTAGCCATGAGCGGGAAGGTGGTGGCCACGCCGGTGGCCTCTTCGTCCACGCCTGGCTTGGAGCTGCCGCCCCTGGAGACCGCTGCCCTTTCTCCTCCTTCGGCCCAGGTGCTGGCCGACTCGCCCGGGCTGGACGGTGAGCAGGACGGCACCACCACCTTCTGCATGCTCATTCCTAAGATGCCCCAGTGGAAGTTCTCCAATTCATTGCTCAGCCGTAGCCCGTCCAATAGCAACTCCAGCTCCAATTCCAGCAAGGATTCCGGCAGGGCACCTCCGACCGATAGTTCCCCTGCTGGGGGGGCGACTGCCGCCAGTGGTCCTGTGGCTAGTCTTGCAGCTGTGTTCAACTCCTGTGACCCTGTTTGTGTGGGCCCATGTTCCCTACAGGCCGCCAGGAGGCAGAGGGCCAGTCCGAGAGAGTCCAGCGCAGGGGCCACCGAGGGGAGTCCAGGGGGCTCTGGGAGCTTCAGGACCGGGATGAACCGGAGGACCAGGGTGGAGGGAATGTGGCTGGGAGATAACTTCACCCAGAAGGGCAGCTTCATCAACAAGCCCTCGCAGGGGTGGTTGCACCCAGACAAAAAGATCAGCAGCACGGGGGCTTCGTACATCGTTAGGGTGAGTCCCCTGCTTATCATCTCGAAATCTCACCATGCTTTCCGCCTAGTGTTGTTTTGCAGGTCTGCAGTGGTGTCAATAGGCAACTCTAGTATTATCGACAGTCATTCATTTACATTCACTGCACCATCTTATGCAGCTCTGAAGAAGCCGAGAACAATATGACTCCCCTTGCAGCTTAAAAACAACTGCAACATCTTGTCCTCTCAGAAGCTGAGTTCAGGCAAAACTGCTTATGATATGAGAACAATGGTGCTCTATTCAGTGTATTGGTTATGTCAGGGTGCAGTTGCTTCAGGAGAAAGGAGGAATATATAGTTTAATCCAGATATATTGCTTTGTGTGGTACAGCGACTGCGTCAGAGCAGGAGGCAGGCGTGAGTAAACAAACTGCAGATGTAAACAACTAAACTAGAATAGAAGGGAGGCGGTCTCATTGTTTATGACTGAAGATGAGTGATGGCTATTCATAAAATTTATACCTGAATTTTCCCTTTTGGGGTCAATACAGATTCTTATTCGCATGTGTTTTCTCTTAGGAATAATAATGAAATTGCAATTAAAGGTAGCGTAGTATGCTAATATAAAGGCAGAATGTTTAATATGACTATTTCAAGCTCATGTTGAGTATAAAAACAGTGAAAACTTATTCCCAATATATTTGATTCTTTGTTTCGTTTTGCTGAAGTAGAAAAGTCTGTAATAAAATTGTGACAAATGCTAACCAAAGACGGCTACTCTTGCAGTTTGGTAGATAGTTGTGGATATAAGCCAATATCTTCAACTCTGGGCTGCATCTCGGTGAATCAAGGGTTACAAATGTTGGCAGACTATTTGACGTCAATAACAGCGATCCTCTCTCAACCCACTTTCTCACCCCTCCACCTCTGCACTCTCCTCCACCCCGCCGTATGTTGTAACCACACAACCCTCTCTCCAGCAGCCCAGACTGGGCCTGCGCATGCTCCTTAATTGCATTACACAGGCACCATTCATTCGTTTATTCAATTACATTTAATCACAGTCATTTGTATCACGTGTTGCAGAGGAAACAAGGCATGGAGGGGGGCTGTTAGCCAAATAACACTGTGGCACGATGATACACCACAAATAAAAGGATTTTAGATCAGGCCTACATTTTCTTCTATTGTTCGACCTACTGTGGCGACAAAATGCTAGCGGCTAGATACGTAAAAGCATTCAAAGTGTTGTTTCCAAATACCAATCCGAATTTACATTGCATTGGTGAATAAGTAGTACTAGACTAAATCAAATGATTCCTAGATGACAAACATTCTTAGAAAGAACAGAAGACTACAAGAAACAGAAATTTAAGCCCCCACAGATTTTGTAAGTTACACCTCATATACAGTGGGTACGGAAAGTATTCAGACCCCCTTCAATTTTTCACTCTTTGTTATATTGCAGCCATTTGCTAAAATCATTTAAGTTAATTTTTTTTCCTCATTAATGTACACACAGCACCCCATATTGACAGAAAAACACAGAATTGTTGACATTTTTGCAGATTTATTAAAAAAGAAAAACTGAAATATCACATGGTCCTAAGTATTCAGACCCTTTGCTGTGACACTCATATATTTAACTCAGGTGCTGTCCATTTCTTCTGATCATCCTTGAGATGGTTCTACACCTTCATTTGAGTCCAGCTGTGTTTGATTATACTGATTGGACTTGATTAGGAAATCAAAAGGGTGCTTCTACTAAATACTGAGCAAAGGGTCTGAATACTTAGGACCATGTGATATTTCAGTTTTTCTTTTTTAATAAATCTGCAAAAATGTCAACGATTCTGTGTTTTTCTGTCAATATGGGGTGCTGTGTGTACATTAATGAGGAAAAAAAATTAACTTAAATGATTTTAGCAAATGGCTGCAATATAACAAAGAGTGAAAAATTGAAGGGGGTCTGAATACTTTCCGTACCCACTGTATATGAAGCATAAACCACACTGGGCATTTCCTCCAGCAAAAACATTTCCTGTGCCTTCCCTGTCTTAGAAATAGGTGTGTGTGTGTGTGTGTGTGTATATATATATATATATATATATAGTTTCATCATGAAAGAACAAGTGAGAAACATCATTCAGTGATGTCATATGTGTTGTAGCTGTGCATGTGCAAGTGCATGATGGTGTTTTTTTGTTGTGAGGAGAGCGTTAATTTATCACACAGCATGAAGGGCCACAATGAGGCCTTTGAGAAGAAGAGGAAGCAGAAGGGTTTCAGTAAAACAAAAAGGAAGAAGTCTAATCACACTGATTGAACACTTCCCGCTGCTGACTAATCTAGTTAAGATGTCTGCAATTGCTGCTTGGAAAGAAATGGGCTGGTGTCAAGATATACGCTGTAAAAAAAAAAAAAAACTCAACTGACTAAAGCTTAAAGGTACAGTACATCCAAAAATGAAAATAAAAATTATTTAGTTTTTTTCACCTTTCAAACTGGTATGACTTTCTTTCGTCTGTGGAACACAAAAGAAGACATTTTGGATATGTCTCAGTGGTTTATTTATTTATTTATGTTTTTTTTTTTTTATCTTTGTGTGTGTGTGTGTGTGTGTGTGTGTGTGTGTGTGTGTTCCAGAGAAGAAAGAAGAGAGGTTTTGATCAACGTAAGGGTCTGAAAATGAGGGAATTTTCATTTTTGGGTGTACTGTCCCTTTAAGACAAAAGGAGTGAGTGCAGAAGATGTGAATGTAGTGTTACAGGGACTGATTTATATTCATAAAGAACGGTTTCAAGGTCATAATTGGTTCTTGGGACTTCCCCGAAGCACTCTTATATTTGTTGAAGAAGAAAACACAGAGGATGTTGATTTCAACTAGTGTCTTAAAGTTATAGTTCACTCAGCAGTTCATTTACTCACCTTCACGTCGTTCCAAACCTGTATGACTTTCTCTCTTCTATGAAACATAACTGTCTATACACTGAAAGTCAATGGGTTCCAATGTTACTCGGTTGCCAGTGTTTTTCAAAAAAGTCCTCTTTTGTGTTCCACAGAAGAAAAAACGTCATACAGGTTTGGAACATCATGAGGGTGAGTAAATGATGACTGAATTGTCTCTTTAAGTTGGTGATTTACTCCTAACTGTAATAACTAGGGTAATCACTTTAGCTGCGTTTACACTTCAAGTCTTAATGCACAGATCCGATCTTTTGACCATATCCGATTTTTTGGCACGTCTGTTTACATTCACTTTAGACACGACTGGTATCCAATATCTGTGTTTACATTAATTCCCACCCAAAAGGATTGTCTGCAGTGATCGCTTTACTATGCACATGGTAGACCCTCGGGTTTTAAATGGCCGTGCTTTTAAAATTATTTATATAATTCACGTCGAATGGCCATTATTATTTGCCAGCATGGACAACGGCTGTCATGGATGTTTTGCAGCACAAAATCTGACTGAACGGATAAAGACCGGAAAATAACGGTAATTTTCATTTGTCTACAACTTATCTATTTTATCTACAACTCGTTAGAGGTAGAATTCTTTTGTGAAATAAAGATGACATTTATTTAAATGAATTCGAATTGTGCGGGTTTTTGTGTTTACACGTGTGCAACAAATTCCGATCTGTGTCAGATGTGAGCGAAAGATCGGATTTTTTTCTGCCAGTGTAAACGCAGCCTTTGACTCAACCGTAGGCCACATGATCTGTGCTTGGGGTCGAGGTGGGTGTAGGCCTCCTTTACAATGCCTAAAACAACAAAAAAGATCTGGGATTACCCTCTGTAAGCATCACAAACACCGTTATTCAAACATATGTGGCATTGTCAGTGTGGGGGTAGGCATTTTGCATGATGTTCCTGCGACCCTTTTGAAAGCATTAGTTACTAACAGCCGAATGGATATTCCCCTACACCTTCGTCAGAGCACTTTCACGTCACAGAAGGGCCAGACTGCAGTAATACCTCTTGCCCAGTCCACCCCCACCAGCCATGATGCGGTTATTGCCGTCAATCTCCTTACACTTCGCTGGATGCACCCTGCTGCCATGAATGTGCTTAAACCATCCTTGTGTTTGTGAGAGAAAGAGAAACAAATGTTGCTTTTGTTTTCAGCAACTAAATCATGGACTCTGGCTCTTGTCAACAGGAATTAGATACATATTTCCATGAAGCAATGATGACCTCTGGGAAATTAAAACTAATTATGTATAATGAAAGTAATGTGTGTCATTTTGTTCTCTTTTTTTTTTTTTTGCAGTACATGGGCTGCATTGAGGTTCTGAAATCAATGAGATCCTTGGACTTCAACACTAGGACACAGGTCACAAGGTAAAGTGTTTTTTGTTTGTATTGCACTAAACCTAGACCAGTTTTAAGCATAACATTTTTAGCAGTTTCTTAGTTGTACACAGATACCCCCTCCCCCCCACAATGTTATTATTTTGGTTCACTATGATTATTTGTTTATTTATTTAGATTTTATTACACACCTCCCGTTTTTGTTTTGTTTTTAATTTTTGCTTTGATGAACTGAATCAATTTCCTTGAATTTTGTTTTATTTTTTATTTTTTATTCATTATTTTATTATTTTCATTATTATTTCATTTTCAGATTATACCCTCTATGATTTTTGTTTTGCTGTTTGTTGTTTTTCATTTGTATTATTTTATTTTTATTTATATTAGAATTTTCTAACTTTTCATTTTAGAGTTTTTTAACTTTTAACTAATAATTTTCTTGTGTTTTTATTTTTTATTTAGATTTTATTACACACTCACCTGTTTTTTTTTTTTTGCTTTGCTGAGCTGAATCAATTTCCTTGATATTTCTTTTATTTTAATTGAATTTATTATTCATGATTTTATTATTTTTATTATTATTCCATTTTCAGATTATACCCTCTATGATGATGTTTTGTTTCGCTCTGTTTATTTTATTAATTTTTTTGTTTATTTTAGTATTTTCTTTTTGTTTATTTGAGAATTTTCTAACTTTTATAACATAACTTTATTTTATTTTACTCTGTTTTATTTGTATTTGTTTTATTATTTTCTTTGTTTTGTTTATTTTACCATTTTCTAATTTATTTTAAATCACAAATATCTCAGCTTCCATGTTTGTAATTGGTTTTGTTTTGGAGAATGATTTGGTATGTTTTCTGTTTATGAATTGACAGATGATGGAATGACAGTTAATTGTAACATTATGCTATTTTTATTTGAGTGATATGCTTTCCACAGAAACAATAGATTATCCCTTTGCAGCTCTTTTTTTGCGCCAAATCGTGCTTGCATACATGTACGTCTGCATTCATATGTCAGCTTGCTAGCATTAGTTCTTATGTGTATATTTATTTATATGTGTAGAAGCATGTGCGTTCTTGTAGGGGTGGTGGGGCGGAGCTCCAGATTCCCGAGGGCAGCAGCGGAGTCCCTCTCCCTGCCCTTGCTCATCGATCAGCAGTAACCCGAACCCCGTGACCCACGATGGGCTTAAAGTGCAGATAGCACAGGCGAGATGGAGACGGAGTGATACAGCCATGTATTATTAACAACTCCCACTAATGACTGAGGAGGCCTACTGGGGCCTAAGATGATGCAGATTGCACGGGGTGGAGTTAGAGTTGATAAACACAGAGGACTGGAGAAGAGTGATCGTTTTGAGTAGAGAGCGGCAGTCTATTATGACATTATAATGGTTATAATGGGAATGCTTGGAACAGGCTGCCTATTTAGCCAGAATCTATTTTGCAGCAGAAACGGATGGCTTGTAAATCAGCTGATTTGCGGCGCTCCGGGGAAAGAGGGAGTGTGGGTGGGCTCTCTCATTTGTCATTGTCACGTAGTGTGGCCAATGAGCAATTTTTAATAAGATCCAAAAGGCAAAACACACACAGATGCATAATCTTGCAACAGAAACACCCAAATGCAAATGATCACAATAACACTATAAAGAGCACAGCATTTATTGGAAACATTCCCTGGAAAGTCCTTTGCTGGGACAGTTGGCACTTTTAAAATATTAATGGGTTATTTGATAGCACACTGGTGTTTCGAAGTCACTCAGTCCGCTGTTGACCTCATAACCCATGTGCCCCTGTGCCAAACGCTCTGCTGCCATTGATATGGTTTCATAAATGACACTTTTTGTTTTAATTAGTTGTGTTAAGGCATCCATCACTACTGTCTAAGTTTAGGGGTTTTCAAAGATTTCAAAAATTGTAGATTTTTCTATTTTCGATTCAATTATTTTTTTTGTTTAGATTTTGTTTGCTTTGTTTTGTTTATGATACAGGTTTATTGATTGATTGATTGTCTTTTGGTTAATTTTTTTGCTTTGTTTTGATTTTTCTTCTGCTTTGCTTTGATTTGTTTTATTTAGCTTTGCTTTGTTTTGTTTATGACACGGTATTTATTTTTTTATGTATGTATGTTTTGTCTTTGGGTTTGTTTTTGCTTTGTTTTGGTTTGTTTCTTAGTTTTTTTTTTTTTTTTTTTTTTTTTTTTTTTTTTTTTTTTTTTTTTTTTTTTTTTTTTTTCTTTTGCTTTGATTTGGTTTTATTTATTCTTTGGTTTGTTTTGTTTGTTTGCTTTGTTTTGTTTATGAAACTATTTCTTTCTATTTATGTGTGTATGTTTTGTCCTTTGGTTAGTTTTTTTGCTTTCTTTAGTTTTGGCTTGTTTCTTACTTTGTTTTTATTTGTTTTATTTTACCTTTATTTGGTTTTCTTTTGATTTGCTTTGATTTGGTTTTATTTATTCTTTGGTTTGTTTTGTTTATGAAACTGTATTTATATATTTATGTATGTTTTATCTTTTGGTTTGTTTTTTTGCTTTGCTTTGCTTTTGCTTGTTTCTTACTTTTTTTTTAATTTGTTTTCTTTTGCTTTGGTTTGTTTTGTTTGTTTGCTTTGTTTTGTTTATGACACAGTATTTCTTTCTTTATTTATGTGTGTATGTTTTGTCCTTTGGTTAGTTTTTTTGCTTTCTTTAGTTTTGGCTAGGGATGCACCGATACTGGTATGGGTATCGGGCCCGATACTGAGCTCCTGTACTCGTACTCGTTAAAATGCCCTGATACCAAACGCCGATACCACACAGTATGTGATAAGCGCCATATTCAGACAAAGAAACGCCAACAACAGAACAACAGACAGCAGAATGGAGTTAAGGATGTCTATTAAAACTAAATCGTAAAAATAAGACCATTTATAGGGGCATTCACTATAAACGTCATTTATTTTTAATCTTAGGCATACATGACTTTGAATGTTTGAGTGAATCTAACAGCCTGTGTGAAATGCGCTAGGGCTAGGCTTAGTGTTGTCACGGTACCAAAATTTCAGTATTCGGTACCGATACCAGTGAAAATCCACGGTTCTCTGTACCAAAGCAAAACATGCTAAAAAATTTTTTTACTATACTTTCATTTAATCCACACTGTGT